CAGCAAAGGACCAGCATAAACCAGCAAAGGACCAGCTTAAACCAGCAAAGGACCAGCTTAAACCAGCAAAGGACCATAAACCAGCAAAGGACCAGCTTAAACCAGCATCCCAGCGTCAAAACATGCCTAACCAGCACATGCTGGTTTTTTCAACAGGGAGGAACAAAATAAATGGACTTTTCACTCACTACCATTACAGTATAGCGTATATATCACTAACTTACACATTTGACCGTTCAGATTGGGGAACAATGATGTTAGCGTTTGACGTATTGAGATTTGTATAGCGATGGTGTTTTAGGTTTTTCTTTTTTAGGATGCATAGTTCGGTCATTACAGCCGAGATGATGGATGAGGGGCCGCGCAAAGCAGATTTTGATTTGATTTGATTGATTAAGGACAGATTTCCGTTACCCCTTGACTCTGTGTTGTACGGTGGAAACCCCATAGGTTTGCTTCCTCTGGGCCCAGCAGTTTTAAATGCTTCCTATCTGTAATTGCTCTGCAAAACTATAGCTGTTTTAAAATACACATTGTATTTGAAACCATTTTAAATTGTGTGTTTTGAAAGGTTTTGCTTCCGGGTCCAACATAAACCAGCAAAGGACCAGCTTAAACCAGCATCCCAGCGTCAAAACATACCTAACCAGCACATGCTGGTTTTTTCAACAGGGAGGAACAAAATAAATGGACTTTTCACTCACTACCATTACAGTATAGCGTATATATCACTAACTTACACATTTGACCGTTCAGATTGGGGAACAATGATGTTAGCGTTTGACGTATTGAGATTTGTATAGCGATGTGTTTTAGGTTTTTCTTTTTTAGGATGCATAGTTCGGTCATTACAGCCGAGATGATGGATGAGGGGCAGCGCAAAGCAGATTTTGATTTGATTTGATTGATTAAGGACAGATTTCCGTTACCCCTTGACTCTGTGTTGTACGGTGGAAACCCCATAGGTTTGCTTCCTCTGGGTCCAGCAGTTTTAAATGCTTCCTATCTGTAATTGCTCTGCAAAACTATAGCTGTTTTAAAATACACATTGTATTTGAAACCATTTTAAATTGTGTGTTTTGAAAGGTTTTGCTTCCGGGTCCAATATTAACAACATTCCGTTGGTGATCCTGTCTGATCGTCACTAGGTAGAAAACATAAAACAGATTTATCAATGTCTTAATCTGATATTTGCCACATTGCAGTGAAGAAGTGCTGCAGTGTTACTCTAAATATGCGTCTCTGTGCGCACAGTGTAGAAGAAGTGGGAAGATTTTGAAATAAAAAATAGTGCCATCTCGTGTACGCAAGTTATGTTTTTTACTGCAATGTAGACTCTACAACGGATTGGTGGAAACGCTGCTACCGTTTGAAACACTGGAGCTGAAATAAACTGCACAATGATCAAATGACGCGCGTCTTATTTAGTATGTTTGTAACATTGTATGAATGTTTGTCATGAAGGTATATTCAGCGGAAGTGATCGCAAGTCTTATTATATGGCCTCATATAATAAACAAAAAAGAATAATTAACTTTAGAAAATAATGTCAGTTTCATTCAGTTAAATTAATAAACGGTAGGAACCTGCTTTTTATTGCTGTATCAAAAATACTTGTTTTGAGATT